AAACAGTACTATATTACATTTTAGACACATTCTAGACAGTTTATCAACAAAAAAAAGTTAATTTTGGGGTAAGTTACTCTTTAATTTATTGATTTCAGCCATCGTGTTATCTAGCAAATTCTGTAAGCTGTCACCAGAACAAAAAACACTTCAGCAAATAGCTCCATTTTTAACATTTTGGAAGCATCACAAAGCTGAAATGTCAAACCTGAGACAAGTGGAGCAGTTTGATCATGAGGAGTGGAACAAAATACCTGCTGAGAGCAGCAGAAGTCTCACTGACAGTTACAGGAATCATTTGATTGCAGTGATTGACTGTAAAGGTTGTGCAACAAAATATTAAGTTAAGGATCCCAACATTTCTGTCCAGGACTGTTTTGTGAATTTTATATAAAAAATTCTGTTGAAGCATGGTTGAAAAGCAATGTGTGACTTTCATTTGTTCATCTTTGTAGAATTTTATGTATTACTTTTGTCAGATTAAAGTTATTTCTGTGACCATTGTGGGTTTTTCTTTCTTTAAACGAGGGGTACCAACATTTTTGTCCARATGTGTAAAAAGCTTTCCATGAAATACCCTAATTTAAAAATTCAAATAGATGCAAATATGTCCTACACATGTGATTCTATTTTTTAGAGTAGTGGCACAGAGATTACAAAGGTAAGCCCATGATTGAGAAGTTACCGGTTCAAATCCCCTGATGATTAAAACTAAATTTGGGTGGGAAAGATGAAGCACTCAAACTTCCCTCCACACTCATTTGCCATACTCTGGGCTCTTGCTTCAACAGATTTTCACTTGCAGTGTAAAGGAATTTGATACACCTGCAGAATCATGACACGTGACTTGTTGTGAAATAATATGCTGAGCTGACACTTTTCTTCTCAATGATAATGAAAGTGCTCCCTAGACAATTCACATACATTTTATGGTCCAGGTGTTCTGGTGTGTGTTTACATCTACATGTGACAAAAATAAAGAAAATTTTACAGTTTACATTCTAGTGAAATTGTTTAGGCCATTTTTGTGGCGTGTTATGTTGTGTTGTATGACGTAATTGTGGTGTTCGAGTTTAAATCGTAATTATTCAAAATCATTAGAAAACTTTTTGATTAAATTCCCCCTAGGTTCAGAAAACCTAATAAAGTCAAAATTCTCTGTGAGTTTTACTACTTGTAGTTGACAGAAAAAAATTGCGTGGCGGTATGCACATTCTCATGCCATGTAGGGTTTGATACTTCCTGACTTCCTGACATGCGTGGAACCTGGGCCATGCAACCTATTTTTGCGTATGCACTGCTGATACACGAGGCCCGTGGTTCTGCTTCTTTATTAGTTTTTTTCTCCTTTTTTCTTTGTGAGCAGCCTGAAAACCTGCTGTACTATAACATGGAGGAGAACGCTAAAATCATGGTCAGTGACTTTGGCCTGTCTAAAACACTTGAACATGGTGTGATGTCTACAGCGTGTGGAACACCGGGATATGTTGGTGAGTTAAATGTAAGGTTTTCCTACTTTGTATACTTTTGTAATTGTTGTTCTCTTCAAATTCAACCAACACAAAATTGCAGTAAGATTATATTACTATTACCATAGTATTATTAATATATTTCACCGTAGCTTGAGTCTAAATGATATCTCATCAGTAAGTAATTTGTTGCACAACAAGACTTGGTGGCAGTTTGAAGAACCAAAGATTTAACAGTATGTCAAACATACATGTCAACCCCTTCGGATGTTTAACTGTATAATGAGCCTCAAAATTCTGTATAATGAGCCTCAAAATTCTGTATAATGAGCCTCAAAATTCTGTAAATTGCACAATAAAATCAGTATTAATCACACGCGGGGGG